TCCAGCAGGCGGAGGAGGCGCTGACGCACACGCTGCTTCAGAGGCACCCCTTCCTCTTCTATGCCCGGTGCTCAGGGACAATGCTCAGGGGGGGTTGGCCAGCTCAGGAGGATAGACATCGACCTGGAGTTTGTAATACATCGTGACGGTAGACCCCCGATAGCGAATCCGCACCGTCCTGGGCGGGATGGGGCTACCGGGCCCCTGTCGGCGATAAGTGAGTGGGCGATTTGTGGTCGATGCTTCCCCCCTTGAGCCTATCCCCCCTCCCGAACGTTGCCCCCTGCGTGCTGTCGCTGGGGCACGGGGCTTCTGGACGACCACCGAGTGCACGGCTGACTCCTTCTCGTCGGAGGTCCAGCCTGGACTGGACACGGGGCGCTTCCTTGGGGCCTCCTTTTCCTGACAAGTTTGGTACATCTGGATCTGGACTACTGTCCGAGGAGCAAGCTAGAGTGTAGCTAGTTTTCTTGGCTCACAGCTTCCCTAACTCTGATCGGGGAAGCGTAAGACCCTGGTTTGCCAGGACTCGGGTTCGCCATCGTTTTTTGACGACCGCGCCTCGGATTTTGACGAGCAGGAGTTTCGTGGGATGTCTGCAGCGGGAGGCCTCGTCAAAATGCAGGCTCGGCCTCGTCATTTTTTTGACGACCTCGTCGGGGATTTCCGAGTCCCCCGTACCCGGGTCTTACGTCTCCCCGATCTGAGCAGGGGTGTGCCCAAATAGATGGCCCCTGCCTGCCTGCGCGGCTGATCTCCTACGCGGTGGTGGGGGGGGGCAGCGTCGGCACCGGGCCTCGTGAGCCAAGGGGGGGCCTCGGCACACCGAGATGCAGCGGGCTGCGTTTCGGCAGGACCAGGGCAGAAGTCCATCGGGAAGGAGGTCGGTCGGCAGCATCAAGCAGAGGAGGGGTAGCGACGCTGGAGGCGATCACTTTCCGTATGTCTCTACGGAGGAGCGGAATCCACAGCCAGCGTCTACCCTGGAATCTGGTGATGCAGTCGTGAGGGCTAGAGGAGGAGAGCCAGCTGATGGCAGTGGATCAGACAACGGATTGCCAGACAGGCAGGAAGGCCAACAATTTCCACCCGTCTGATGTAGACGGAAGACGTTCCCCTTGAACGCCACATGTCATGCTCTCGTTCGGTCGGCCCCAAATCATTGGAGTCTTGTGTGCCCTCGCCACCCCGTCTTTAGAGTGCAACAGCGTGCGCCTGCGTCTGGTACAGATGAGGCTGCGCCGATGTAGCGCCGACTAGCGTCAATTAGCGTCGGTTCGCGTCGATCCGCAAGAGCCTGCAAGATGGCATTGAAGACTGCCATCAGTTGCCACCGAAGCTTGTCATGCTCCTGTTCCTCTCATCTTTCGCTGGTGCATGGCCCACGAGCACAGCGTCCGGATCCCTCTGCAGTACTTCTGGTTCGCATGAGTTGTGAACGTAGACACGTTGCCTCGAGCCAACGACTGAACAATTTTGGACGATGATAGAGCGATACCAAGATAATATGAATTCAGGGCACATGTTCAAATCATCTGCGCCAACACCTGGGCATCTCGTATGTAATTGCTTTTCTCATTAAAAGTCTACGTGGACGAATAAACTCCGAGCGGGAAAGCGGGTACACAATGAAAAGGCGTTTGATGTACGGTGGAGCAGCAGCGCGCCTATTTTTGCACGACGCTGCATACCGGAGCAGCATTGCGCATGGTTGCGTATCTTTTGGCTTCTATACCTGTGCCAATGTGACAAAGCGAGGTGGCGCATCCTGGAGACCATGAACGCACCGACCTCCTGGAGTCCGTAGCGCCGCGCAGGCATTTGTAGTGACAACCGCGGGTGGTAGTCAGTTGCAAGATGCGGGGCAGCGCATATCAGACTCTGGCCCCAGTCAAAAGTGTTCACCCCTGACGTCACGTTAAGTCGGTGTTGGCAGAATCCAGGCAGTGAAGTGTCGCCCTCTCTTTCAAATTCTTGACGCTTCTCGTGCCCCCACCACCCAATCCAGAAACGATGCCCAGGCGAGTGTAGGAGCAAGCAGTGGAACAAAGAGGGGGGCGGCCACCGTCGAACCGAAGGTCGGGAACAACCTAAGCTGACCCAGGCACCATCAGACACGCCTTCGCGAACCTTTCGAACTATAGCTTCTTGGCAGCTTCTGTGGGCAATCTTGAAGCCCTCTTGGAGCCATTTTGGATGCATTTGGGGCTGCCTTTGGTCGTCTCTCTCTTCGGGTCATCTTGGGGGCCATTCGGGCCCTCTTGGGGCCGTCTTAGAGGACATCGGTCCGAGAAAGGTGTGTTCTAAACTAGCCCCCCCCCCCCCCTTCGGAGCCAGAACCATCGCGTCCTTGGGACCTCTTGGAGCGCTGTTGGGCCAACGCCCGACGCGGCCTCCGCGCCCACCTCCTTGGCAGTCGGCGCGTGCCCCACCTGGCCCAGCCTCCCTCGGTCTGCCCATGCGCTCTTGTAGCAGTTTTGAAATCGTTCCCTCCATGATTTCACCCACTGTTGATCCGCAAGTGGCATTTCTCTGGGATGGAACCCTCGGTCGCATAATCCAGGATCGCCAGGGGGAATCTCTTCCAAACTTCCCAATGCAGAAGATGATGACTCAGGTTTTTTTCAGTAATGGTCAAGTACATGCCTACTGATTCTTTCGCACTGATGTTGTGGCGATGGGGTGGTACACTATAATGTTCGAAAATTATGGTTCATCTTGTAAGACACGCACTGCTGTGTGTGTGTGCTTTGGCACGCGTTCTGTGTATGCATTGACGCTGGCCTGAGCGCGGAGGCCAACAAGGCGAGCGTAATTCTATATAGTTCTGTCTGTATAAATCTGTACATGTATATGTATATATCAGAGTGAGGGGGCCGAGCGGGTCATACATTGTCCCTTGGCGCGTGGCTGAAGTGGGGTTCCGCGGTGAGGTGTGTTGTTTAACCCACGTGTGAACAATTCATATTGTTGATCACCCCCACTGGTGCACATTGTGTTTTTGTTCAATTATGTTCGCGCCCCTTCTTTTATGAAGGGAAGTCATCCTTCTCAAACTGTGCCGCTGGCCCTTGGTTTACGACCACAGCGGCTCCCGCCTGATAATTCCTCACAAGTTACTCTGAACTTGCACTCTCGCGCGGGACTTCCTCACGATGTATGCGGGAATCGTGCTCCCGCGTGGGACTTCATCATAATTGATTCAGACGCCGCGCCCTCGACGCTCGGGAATCAAGTCACGCTTCGGCAACCCGCCTGCTCGGCCTGGCCGCCTGGTCCCGGCTTCCCGACCCGCCTGTTAGGGTCTACCCGCCCGATCTGCCCGTCTGGTTCTGCCACTTGTCTTCTGCTTCTAGCCCCCCCTCCTGATAACCTCTCTTGTGCTCCAGCCCTCTCACTCCCCCTTCCATCCGTCCTCTCTTCCCCTGCTCTATTGGCTGCGCTACATGCACGTGGCAGGTTGGAAGATGTACTCCAAGGGGGTACGATCGAAGACGAAGAGGGAGGGTACCCAGGGTTTGGGACACACGTGTTGAATGGCACGAGATAAAACAGGAGCGAACAGTCTAAAATTGATTGCTGCTGCTGTTGGGTCCTGATTCTTAACTTCCGAATAATATTTGTTGTGGACCCCTACAAGTGACATGTTTAAGTTGAAAGGTTCCTCCTGGTGTTCGCACCCGAGTATTGATCAGGAAAGTCTGTGGTTCCCGCATTGCGCCCCTGGCCCCGGGCTTACAACAACAGCAACAACAAACATGTTGATACTGTTCGTTGTTATCTGCTTGCGTGTCATTCCACACGTATATCCCAAACCCTTGATACCCGCTTTTCGTCTTCGATCGAAACCCTTTGGGGATACATGTGTCTTACCTGCAACGTGCATTTCCTCAAGCCCTTTCGGCAGGGGAAGAAAGACGGATGGAAGAAAGGGACAAGGGGGAGGAAGGAGGACGGAGCACGAGAGAGAGAGAGAGTAGCAGGTGTGGGGGCTAGAAGCAGAAGACAAGTGGCAGAACCAGACGGACAGACCGGGCGGGTAGACCCTAACAGGCGGGTCGGGAAGGCGGGCCCAGGCGGCCAGGTCGAGCAGGCGGGTTGCTGAAGCGAGCGTCTTGCATGAACCGCGAGTCTCGAGCGATAGCGCGATTCTTAAGTAAGTCGTGAGGTCGGCCAAAGCGAGAGCGTGATTCGTAAATGCCGAGGGCGCGATAAATGCGAGGAAGTCTCACGCGGGAGGGGCATTTCTTCATACATTGTGAGGACGTCCCGCGCGAGAGCGCGATTTGGGAATACATTCGGAGGAAGCATCTCGCGGGAGCCGTTGTTGCTGTAATTCGGAGGCCAAGGGCCGAATTCTGAGACCCAAGATTGTCTCTCATAAAAAAGGGCGCGAGCCCCGGGTTGGGCACTTCAACGGAAAAAACAATGTGCCCCGGAGGGGGAGGACCAACAATATTTGATCTTCAGTAGTGAAAATTCAACAACGGCTCCCGCTGGATATTTCCTCCAGATATTTTGCATATTCGCGCTCTCGCGCGGGACTTCCAATAGTGTATTCCGGAATCGCGCTCCTCACAAATCATGCTCTCGCGATGGATCCCCCAACGATTTACCTGGGAATCGCGTTCGACACTTCCCCCATGATGGGGTAACGCTTTAGTGGCCCGCCCGCTCGACCCGGCCGTCTGGGCTCGCCCGCCAGACCTGCCCGTCAAGGTCCGCCCACCCGACGCGCCAGACTGGTTTTGCCTTTTGTGTTGCTGCTGTTCCTAACCATCCTCCTGCACATTTTTGTCGTGTTCCATCCTTTTCCCTCCCCCTGGTCTCTTCCCTCGTCCCCTCCTTCCTCTGTTTGAGGGGCTGCGACAATTAAGCGCGGCAGTTCGGCTTCCTCGACCCCCAACATGGAGCACGATCGAAGACGAAGAGGCCGGGCAACGAGGGTTTGGGATACACGTGTTGGGTGGCACGCGAGGTGGTAAGAGCGAAGAGTCTTGAAGTGCTTGTTGCGGACTCTTCAT